AGTATACACCTATAACCTGACAATCTGGCCCCTCAAAAAAGGTTTTGAAGGTCAGTACGCCTCCTATGGACAGTATGACCCCCTGGTTATGTAGGATCCCAAAATTCCGAAGGTCTGGCAATATGTTCCATTTTTCTGAGCTACTTTCAGTCCAGGTATGGGTTCATACGGGTGGCTGCTGATTGGTTTCGATCATTTGTGAAAGCACATTGGGATAGCATCGCGGCATTCATGGAAGACCCGACAACTCGTCTCAGATCCCTTTCCCAGACACTCCATGTATGCCATATATGCCGATCAGTTGGGGTGGTTTTGGGGGTCAATGTAGGCATATATATCATACATGGAGTGTCTGGGTTTTGTTCCTTCAAAATATGTCAAAACCGATCTCTATTGGGATTCAGTCGTGTCAGATGCCGGTGATGTGTTCGACACTGAGACATGAGACACTGAGTCATTGTTTCTGGTGCAGTCGTACCTCAGAACTAAGGTTCGGTACGAAAACGGATTTTTGTAGGGCCCTAAAACGCACAATGCTGGAGACCTGCTGGAGGGTGCCTTCTATAGTAGGTCATCATAGAAGAAAACAACAGCTGGTATCTGCAGGTCTCTGCAGTTCCACCTTCACATGGTTCACACCAATTGTCCACCCACCTCGCCCAACGGCGGGCCCAACGGGCCTAGGTGTCGTTGAACACCCCAGACCCCACCCGTCGGCCTGTCGGCGGTTTGGCTTCGGTCCTTGCCAGGCCGAAGAAGCCGCTCCCGAAGCTCCCGAAGCGCAGTAGGTCTGCGCAGTAGGTCGAGGTGGGTCAGTCGAGACGGAGAGTACGGACGGAGCGACCGTTTTGGAGGAAGGAGGAAGCATGGACCTATAGTGAAGGAGAATCAAGACTGTTCCCTTACTAATTATTCTGGAACCACCTCAGAGGTGGATTTGGAAGATTGCTTAGAGAGAATGATGGACAGAAGTTGTCTTGTTTCTTTGGGAACGCTCACCTTGGGGTTTTCTGAGTTGCACTACGGGTTGTGATCATGCATCCACGGGGGTACTGACTGAACGTCTTTGGGAAGTTAGGATGAAGTACCATGGAGTGATGACGCTGAGTTTGTTTGTTTTTGAGGACATGATCAGGGTGTTTGATGTTTGGTAAGTGACAAACTACCAGCAGCAATGACAATTACCTTTGTGTATCACAATGTCAGAGTATTATACTCACGGTTGTTGACTCCACTACATCAACATTGGGAGTCTGGTGCAGTACGTTGCTTGCAGCAATGACCTGACATGTGCAGTTAATATATGCTTGCGACAGGCAAGCGTGGCCAACCCAGTAGCAGCAGTGGTTAGTTATTTTGCAATATAGATGATCATGTATACGTTATCAACTTTGAGCATTATAGAAGGTTTCTAAGTATAGTGGTTAGATGTGGTTGGTGGTTATAGGTGTCAACATAGCTCAAAGACCTTCGCCAAATCAAGGACACATCCGGAACGCATCTCTCCCGACCGTCGGGCAAGCCGACGGCTCCGAGACTGTGCAACGATCGGCCCGGCGAAGACAGACACGCCGGGCGTCGAACGCACGACGCGTTCAAGGGCCCAAGGGCGTAGCGTTCGAATCCAGCATAGGGGGCTGTCACCGCGCATGACTCGTGTCGCGAGTCGCGGTGCTGAGAGACAGAAGACTTTGGGGTGTTCTGCTTTCAGAGTCATGCTCAAGTGTATGATAGCCTGGTTTTGCTTAAGGTGATATTTTATTTTCCATATGGTTAAATACTGTTAAACCCCCTTCTGGAGAATAATTATGGTTTATTTTTCTAGGTTGCAAATAGGGTACAGTTGTGGAATGTGCATGAACATGTTCATTTTTGTTGGATGGCGGTTGGTGGGGTTGCTTGAGATATAGAATCACTGTATATACTATACACAAAAAAACACACAATATGCTTTTGGATGCGTATGTAAGGATGATCATCCATCCATTCAACCCACAGCCCAGCGCACAAAAACAATCAAAAACACTGTTCTCGAGTCCGCCCTAAAACACCTCGAGGACAGTTGTTCATGCTTTTAGGCAAAAGCAAAGGCTGCACAGTCATCCCAGAGCGACACGTGATCACAGATTCTTCTGGATCTCTTCTGGAGCCACCAGACGTCGGCGACACGTGGATCGTGCCATAAACGTCCAGTCAGACAGGCGTCTTGGGAGGATGGGGCTCCATGGGACTGCCATAGGACTGCCGCCCCATTGACCCGTTTCAACCACCCCTGGCCGTTTCTCGGCAGTCCTATACCACTCCCAGACAGGTCGTGTTTGGGATTGCAATGTTTTGCACATGGACGTCCAAATACCAGGAGCCAATGGGTGTCCAATAGACTACCCTGCCCTACTTGCAGGTCTCTAGACAGGGCACCCATTGGAAGTGCTAGGTAGGTGTGGAAGTGTATAAGGAGACCTTCCAGGCGTTCCGACCCCCCAAGGTTCGGACCATAAACCAGTCGACCCAGCCAGGTCCACGGATCCTGAGGGGTCAATGTAGGCAGTCCTATAGCAGTCCCAGACAGGTCGTGTTTGGGTATTGAAAAACACCCCAAATAGTTGACGGATGCTTGGAGGGATCAACATGAAGACAGCGGGTATTCAGGCTATTGTGGTGTCACTGCAGGACCGATCACAATGGGATAGGGGGAGAAGATGTTCCATCATGTTCCATCTTGATATCTTGAATGTCCATCAAAAAACTCTCGAAGTCCAAGACTATATACCCTAGGGCTCCTGGCCCATCTCCGCTTCAGTGGGCACGGTCGACCCCCCTGGCACCCACCCACCCCAACCACCTTCGAAACGGAGGTGGGCCAGGAGCCCGTCTAGGGACTCTTCAAAGAAGGGTCTGACGAAAGATGACCCGCGTCCGTGAAGCTTCTAGCATGGTCTTTGGACCTTCCGACTGGGCCTTTTTCGGGGATAGTTGTTGGGACGGGCAACGAGACGTCTTCATTCATAAGGGATGTCCAAGCTTGCAGGTCCAAGCTTGCACGGACGGAAGATGGCATACCTGCATGGCATAGCTTGAAAAACAACGGATGCGAAGTTGAGGTCGGCAAGAAGCCTAAGCCTATAATCATCACGTTTGAACTCTTAAAGCAAAAAACACGTCGACGACTTCGGGGGCCAGCAATCTGCACAGAGCCCTTTGTGGGCCACGAACATGGGGTCCGCCATGGATGACCTGCGGTGTGCGAGCATTGGCAAGCATGGGCGTTCGACAAGTCCATGTGGCTTTCGGTGAAGAACAAGAACTTCGGAGTCTCCGTGGTTGGAGAGTTTCTACCATTCTTGCACATGTCCATGCAAAAATAGCCAAAGGCTGGCTTGGAATGGACGGGCTTTACTAGCTTATGGAGGACCCAAGTATCTTGAAACGACGATGTTTCGATTCCGTCTTCATGCGGGTATCAAAACTAGAGTCCCCTGGTGTGAATGGAACACATGAAGATTAGACCAAGTCTATGGTTTGAGCCGGCCCTCCTTGGCTGGTTTGAGTCATGGAAAGAGGTTCTGAGGTTCTAGGGAGAGCGTACATGCTCGAGACCATTCCAGACCCTTTTTTCTGGAGCGATCTTTCATGTATCACGATGTATCTACCCCAGATGCTGTAATCCATGACACTGGCATTCCATTCCATACATTCCCTATAGGGGTCCAGGACCCTCCGATATCGAATGTCCTTTGAACCCACTTTGACCATGACCGAAGTACTCACCAGTACGTACTCACCTCCCACCTCCCATCCTCGAGAGGTGGACCCTATGGGCTTGGGGCGAAGCACGTTTGTTTCAACGGGGGTCGATGGGAGTGCTTCCGGTTCTTTTACACCGGTGACGACGGTGGTAGAGAACACAGCCAGACCGCCTGACCTGGTGGTGTAGTGTAAATTCCTTTGTAAAACAAGGACTCTTCGGGACTCAATCCGATCCATTCAATCAAGGGTCGGCCACGAATCCTAGCAGACACTTCGAGCTTGGCTGTCGAAGCACCAGCGCTGATGCTCGCAGCGAGCTGCTCGCGCAGCGAGCTGCCCGGTCTCCATGCTGGGAGACAGGAATCAAAAGGGCGCAGTGATGCGGACCGAACTGGCTGAGATGACGTGGGGGGGTGCTTTACAGCTTCAAGGCCAAACTTGTCTCAAATGGAGAGTCCTCAATTTAATGTATTTGAATGTATTATATAGTATTTTAAAAAGTAATTGACAAACAGCAACATGGCGCTCCAGATGCAAGTACTACTATATACCACAACGCTTTGTTTTTTGTTGTTCTCAATGACATAGCCTGTACAGCATAGAGTAACACTGCTTGTTCGCCCTCGGTCTAGATCAAAGTGGCATCCCAATTGCTTCATAGATGTGATGTGTTTGAAAACAACGACAAAAAGCTAAAAAGTGTTGGACCAACACATTGGGAGGGGGGAGACAATTGAACCAACACATTCGTTCTCATCATTTGACACGCTTCCTGCGCTTCGTCGCAGGAGAGAAACGATAAGGTCGTTCTGGAAACCCCAGTCTCCACCAGAAACAGTTCTGGTTGTTCCAATATATGTGGCAATTGAGATCCATTCCATAGGAAGTGGCTGGGACTGGGGAAACATCCATTTGTTTCTTGTTGAGACTTGGCTTCCAGGATTTTCTGAAGCGACCTAGTGGGACATGTCGGCCAAACGGGACGAGCTTCTTCGAACGCGTGATTTCTTGAACATCAAAAGATCCCGATGTGAAGATTGGCATGCGGGTCCACAGATCAAGGGAGAAGGAACTAACTCAGCCTCCAAGTTCAACAAAAAACCACCTGACTTGGCTGGAGTTCCATCATTCAATCAGCTGTTCACCTTTGTTTGGGACCTTCAATGGCTCTTCACTCTCTTCCAACAGCGTGCAGTTGGCGGCGGCCAGTCCCAGTGACGAGACCCACCTCGCCGTCGAGCGCTCCACGCCAGGTACCCCTACGCATCTGGGGCCGCACCCACGAGCAGCGCCTATGGCGCTCAGAGCGATGGTCTCTATCCTACGAGGAGCGTGGAGCGGAGCACTGTAGCGAGGATCCATGGAATCCATGTGGATTACAATATAGAGGGAGACCTCTGAGTTGGACCCCGGAAGTTTCGGAACATATGACCATGTCATATGACCAGTCTACCCAGCCAGGGCCATGGGGATCTCCCTGTTAAGAGACGGACCCAGTGAGGGGATGATCAGAGCACCTGCCTTTGTGATGCGTGGAAGACCAGGGGCACGTCATACGGGACGAATTGTATACACAAACGAGGGGTTCTATATCCGAGACACTCCTGTAATTATGGCATATTTACTGTATCTACATTGACCCCCGAAACCACCCCTAAGGTAGGTAAATATGCCATACATGAAGAGGTTGGTCGATTCACATGGCAGCTTGGCATTCATGGAGGCTCTGTAGAGAAGCACATCATGAAGCGGATTGTCCCACGTGGCATCCATGAAGCTCTGTGTCGGCCCACCATCTCTAGATGCGACGTCATTGCCTAGTGACTGCCATATATGCTGATCAGTTGTGTGGTTTGGGGGGTCAATGTAGGCATATATGGCAGTCCCATGGAGTGTCAGGGATTGATATATTTATATAATACACTAGATGCCCACATTGACCCCGGTTGAAATCAACCACCCCTAGCCTGATCTGTCAATAAATATGCCAGTCTCAGACAGGTCGACCGTTTGGGTCAAATCCTGCAAGTCGTTGCAGGATGCCGCCGCCCTTACCCTCCTACGCAGGCGCGGACGGGATCACCGATGGGGTCATGTCCTTGTTTGTTTTGCAGATTTGGTTGTTTTTGGTGGAGTGGAGAGAGATGAAAGTCAGTTAGATTCATTTTCATTTATATAGATACTCTATTTCATGAAAGTGCTGCAAGTATCAAGTGAGAGCTCAGAGGAATTGTTGGTTCACTCTTTGGTATGCTATAGATCTTGGGGGAGGTGGCTCATTCATCAAAACTCCAAGGATGTGTCTCCTGTTCAAAACCAACATGTTCCTGTCACATCAATGCATTGGGGAAGCAACTGATTCGACCTTCCTCAAGTTGTACACAACATCAGTCCAATCAATCTGGTGACTAATCAGTCCAACATGTTCTTTCTGCAGAAGCGATGCTTCAAACTGACTATGATTTGGCACGAGCCGGTCATCACCGCGACTGCCCAGTCCTCAAAGACGTCGCGGTGGTTCTCGTCTTCAGGTCTGGCAGATCCATTGGACCCAGGCGGAACTCTGTGCTGTGCTTGGAGTTTGGGGTCGATGAAACCCTTCTCCACCTAAGGTGGAGACCATCCATGTACGGAAGGTTTTTCTAATTGTGTATCTTGTTGATTGTTGCTCGTTGTTTGATGTTGGTCGTTTGTTGTTGTCGTTGTTGTCGTTGTTGGTTGTTGGTTATGTGTTGACGTGCCCATGTTGCTGATTTTGTTGTTCATCTCGTGTTTCTTTGTTGAGCCATGTTCGGAAAAGAGTTGTATGTCGAGATGGGCTCCGCTGGATGTGGCAAACGTACAGTCAAGGTCACGTCCCCCCTTTTCTCATTTGCGCTTTGACAGGCCAAATCCAAGCATGAACGCGCCATTGTGCCCGACCAATGGAAGTCACTGCTTCAATCCAGGTTGCTTCGTTGTGTTGGAGGCCGCCAGAGCGGCAACGTGCGTGGACGCGACTCGAGGCAGTTCGGCCCTGCGTGGTTCGGCCCTGGAGGCCGCGCGCGCCCGCACAGGAGCGGTTGTAATGCGGCCGCGCAGCGGCCCTGGAGGCATAGGCATGCGGCCTAAAGGTCCAAACCGTTGTGTTGGAGGCGGAATGACAAAGAAAAAGAACAGGTTGTGTGTTGTGTGTTGTTTGTTGTTGTTAGATGTTGTTAGATGTTTGTTGTTTGTTAGAACCGTTGTGTTGTGTGTTGTTTGTTAGATGTTTGTTGTTGTTGTCGTCGTGATGGTGGAGCGCTTCTCGTTTCGTGGAGCCTCGTTTTCCGGTCCGCTTCGTCGGCTGTTCCGAGACAGATTCCGTCGGCTCTTCGGTATCAGTCAGCGCGGACCTGCGGAGCGGCGGGAGCCCAAGGACGAAAGCGAAGCAAACTGCCAAAGCCAGATCAGAATCTGCAAAGGAGTGGTGGATGACGACCCGAAATCCCCCTGTTTGAATCTGCAAAGGAGTGGTGGATGACGACCCGAAATCCCCCTGTTTGAATCTGCAAAGGAGTGGTGGATGACGACCCGAAATCCCCCTGTTTGAATCTGCCAAGGAGTGGTGGATGACGACTGTTTGAATCCCCCTTTTTTGTTTGTTCTGGAACTCATTTTGGAGCAGCATGGTGCCTCTGTGCCGCAGCATGGAGCTGCAGTCCTTTTTGGTGGTGTCCACGGTGTCGCTCCTCCCGTGTGTTTTTGGTGCAGGATGCTGGCTCCAGCCGGGCAGGATCGGTACTCTCACCGTTTTTTGTTGATGGACTGTGAGTGATTGAAGGTGGAAATTTGGCAAACAAGTTCTGTCCGACCCACTTCGGACTAACCTAGTATACACACCCCTTCTCGTAGATCCCTTTGGATGAGCAGCGGCATGTTTAACGGTATAAACTCCAGTGGCTCCCTACGGTCCCGTGGAGCAATTCCAATCCCGCACAAGTGATCTTTTGGAGGGACCGAAGAAGGGTCATTTCGGGCACAGCCAACAGCGGGGACTCAAGAGAAAGTTCACTGGCCCAACAGAGCTGTTCATTTTGCAGCTGCGGAGCTTTGTTTCTCGGGTCGTTTTCAGGCTATATCTAAGAGCTTTGATGTGGTGAGACAGTGTCTGTCCGGGGGAGGAAGACCATGAATGGTCACCGGTCGCCTGCAGGCTTTGCCATGGGACGGGGAGTAGGTGCAGGCGCGGTGAGAGGGAGCAGTTCTCCTGCCAAAAATCTCGAGTCTCAATCTGGAAAACATATAAGTCGCTTAGAAGTCGATGAATCGACTTGTTCGATCTATGGTTCTGTAGGCTTTCTGAACATTGCTTGACACTTGAAACGGATTGATTTAGCTTTACACTTGCGTCGCTCCAACAGGTCCATCACTGTGATGCGTCACATCGGACATACAGAACACATTGCTCTCATTCGTCGCTGTCCGTCAAGCAAGAGAGCAGAAGTTGTTCGTGACCCGAAAAAGGATCCGGGTTTTCCCCGGAATTTAGGCCTCCAGTCGTACCGAACCGTTTCGAAGGGGTGACTCGGGTGGGTGCCATGTTCGGGTCCAGTCATACCGAACCGCTTCGGAGGTACGACGAAGTCGGTGTAGGGGGAGTATACCCAACTGGGACGTCGATCGTTCGGGTCGTTGGAAGGTGAAGGGTCGGGTCGCGGACCCCCGGTCGCGGTCGAACATGGTCGAAGCATCCGTGACCTGTTTGGATCCTGGTAGAAGTAATAGGAGGAGGAGTAGTAGCAGTGGCAGTAGCAGTAGTACTACTACTATAGATGCTAGTATTGGTATCAGTAGTTTTACTGCTTCCTTCAGGGCCACTGGGACGAGGCCAAGATTCTGTCATGCGAGCTATGGGGGCATCGAGCTATATGCACATTCATGTGGAGCGTTGGAAAGGTGCAAAATGTAGGAGGACGTTGCAGAGAGTGGGAAAAGACAAGGGAGAGGTGGTGAAGTGTCACAGCAAGGATTCGCAGCAGCATCACAGCAAAAGCATGCAAAAGCAAGGAAAATTTGGTCAGCCAAGGGCAAACCTGGTGGGACAGTTTTGTTGCATGCATGTTGGAAGGTGTGTACACTTGCTGCGCACGCCGAGCAATGCACGTGAATGTATGATCGTTTTGCTCGCTTCGACATTTGGTGAACATGGCAATTCTTCTGTTGCCACTGCGACAGCCATCGACAGCCTAAAATCAGGAAATGTGTTCATCGACGGAGCCACCTTTCACTGTTGCAGTGCGCGTGCCTACCCTGTTAAATGCAATGAAGACATTGAAAGAAACCTTTAAGATCCTTTCAGACTAATCTCATTCCTGATGTCCTTCGTCCGAATGGGAGGGTGCACTTGTTTTCGCGTTGACGTGATGAAACCAGGCAAGGCAGCAAAAGAGGGTTTAAATGTACAGAACCAGCAGTCACAAAGGGGTGCTTAATGGAGGTTAGGGGTGCCCATTATCCACTCACTTAGGGACCAAATACCACCCCTTTGTGACTGCTGGAACAGGTTTCTTTATAAGTTTACGTCGACACACCAAGTCTTTCGATACAAAAACGCCGCCAGGGCCGCCGCCCTTGGGCCCTGGGCCAGTTCCGCCGGGCTTTGGGCTCTATGGGATGCCAGGCGTCTTTGGGGCGAGAGGGAGCGCATAGACCTTGGCCAGACCAGTTGCGCTGCGTTCGGTATTTGTCCAAGTCCTGCACGAACCTGTCGTGAAGATGATATATACCCTAGGGCTCCAACCACCTCCATTTCGAAGGTGGTTGGGGTCCATGGGTGCCAGGGGGGTCGAATACCACCGGTCACCTGAGGGGATGTGCCTGGAGTACCAGGGATGGGCTGAGTCATTAGAGGGGTGCTTTGGGGGGATGCTTGTTCTGAGTCTGAGGGGTCCACTGTTGTTTGAGCCAGAAGAGGGTCACGTTCACCATGGTCCTTGAGAAAGAGAGTGAGCATGATATGTATGTATAGAGAGAGAGAGAGAGCGAGAGAAAGAACAACACCTGATCAGAAGGCTCAGTGCCAACTTGGCTTAAGCTCAAGGCTAGAACACAACAGTTCCGAGTTCGCCCAGTGATTCGTTGAATGGCATCAACGGTCTGTTCTCGGCCATCCCCTCGTTCGTGTGACAACTCCAGGTCCACCTCCCGGTGGGTTCTTCCACTTTCCAGCCACGGGCTCCTTCGTAGCAGGCGGGATCCGCATGGCTCCAACGCACGGAAAACGTCCGGGGTCGAACCGACGAAGCCAGACACGACCTGCTTGGCATCGAAAGACCGATCGAGAAAGACCGGTTTCAACCACCCCTGGCCTGATCGGTATGCGCCTGCGTTCGTCCCATGGGTCGTGTCAGGGTTTGGCAACTGTTAGTTCTTTTGGGGGGAGCGAAGTGGATTGGGCTGGGAGAAAGGCGCTTGAAGTCCTGCTAGTTCTTGTAGGTTCGACTGAAGGTCTAGGAGTCATAGCAGACAGGTTGTCATGTGCTTGTTTGGCAAACTACATGGGGGTGTGGGTGCAAGTACAACATATACCACCATGCCTTCAGTGAACATGAAACTCTTCCCTCCAAGTCCAGTACTTACTCCAGTGCGTTTCATAATCATGCATGTGTGAGATATGCTTCATTCCATGGTTCTTGGTCTAGTGTATTGCCCGTCTCCCAAAAGCAACCGACTGAAGGACGCTGGATGGAGGTAGAGCAGTAGACTGGCCCTCACTGCCTGGTCTCCTCCTTCGAGGGTTGGGAAGGGCCTTCACAGGCCTCAATCCCTCAGAGGTTGAAGAACCCTATCGAATCCTATAGACTATAGACTATAGATACCCCTGGTTACGGGTCCTATTTACGGTCACTGGCTACCTTTGTTGGATTGGTGACCCCTTTGGGTCAAATCTCCAACGCGCCACGCGCCCCGGCTCTCAGATGCCTCAGTGCTGAGTGCAGGTCCGAAGCGCAAGGGGTCGCGGAATGCGGGAGCTCAACGTGCGCAAGTTGGGTCAAGTGAGTTTGCTAAAGAAATCTAAGGCTTCTAAGCCGGTGCCAGACCAGTCTTCTCATGTCTTTTCCAGAGTTTTCAAAAACAATCGTCCAATAATTTGTTCATTAGTCCACTGACATACCTCGGCAGGCCTATAGGGGGTGCGAACGTCAGTTGTTGCTCTCCGCTTTCACTCAACGAAGCTCATGTAAACCTCGTTGGCACAAACCCTGCGTTTGAATGTTGAACGTTTTGACAGACACATGCAAGACCGCCAAGTCAGAGGAGTGTTCGCATTCCGCGACAGGTGCTTGCTGGTGCTTCTAGGTTCCTTCAAATTCTGTTCCTCAACAAAGTGGATGCGGATCTTTGCGCATTCTTTGCTTCCAAAGAAGAAGGCTCCCCCATTGTTCAGCGCAGTTTATGGGCAATGCCGGCAATGGTCTAAAGCATTGACAAAAAATATTGAAAATTGCTTTACTTCGAATGATCCCCACCCTGAGAGGCGAATTGGAAGAAGCCATGTATTGACAGACTATCCTGACAAACAGGGCCTGACATGCGGATTGACATGCAATGTTCTGACGCTTGTTCTGGCATCAAGTCTAGTATTTGCTCTGACACAACATCTATCATAAAGGCGGTGAAATGTTGTGAACTGTGTTCTGGCATGTAATGTGTTCTGACATTTTTCCTGCCACGAAGTCTGACATGGCTGTGACATATGGTCCGACTGCGGTCCTGATATGTGTTCCGACACGTGTTTTACCATGTGTTTCAACACTTGTTCTGCAACCAAGGAAAGATACTGGCATACAATGGCATTTGGCACATATTCTGGGCATTCTATCTAGCATATATTCTGACATTACACTGGCCAGAAGAAAGTTGCGCTTCTTGATGTTGAAACTCATGACAACCCTATCCCCCTAGAATCCTACACCATGACACAAGGGAAGGTGTGGGCGGTCATTTGTCACCCCGGAAAGTTTTTTATTATTATAAATTTAAAAGAGTGTGATAATTGACCGTCCCACACCTGCCACGAAAATT